GAATGCCTGGACTCTCCAAAGCACCTTCTAGCAATATCACAGAGCAGATATCCCTGTCAGCTTTTCAAGCTGCTGCAGCCAGTTTGAAAGCAGTGGATTTCTTTTGTGCGACCAGTTCATTCTATACCCAGATCTGACCTGGAAACCAAATTTCTGCAGCTGTTGTGACAAATAGCACAGGCACCATGTCTATATTTCCTGAAAGCTTCAGTGAACAAACAGGGATTGTTTGCAATAAACAACAAGCCTGGAAAGCAAAAACCTGTGCATGACACTGCTGGCCTGGAGTAAAGGCCTGGTAACTTTGACAATTCCAGTTTGTAAAGTACTCACATATATACAGATTGCCCCATTCTCTCTTCTCATAGCATCTGATGAAGTAGGTTGTTGCCTGTGAAAGCTCATGCATCTCTGAACCAGATAGTTTCTGATTTTAGACTGACAGGGCTAAGCACCTCTCTCCATGCTCCTTTCATTCTTTTATTGACACTGCCTGACCCTTTCCAGTGCCTACATGATTAGAGAAAAGAAAAGCTTTTTTTCAGACTATTTCTTCCATCAGAGTAATTAGATTATTTTATTAGATTATTGATACCCTCACTTGTACCAAATATAGGTAGCGTTACTGTTGCTTCTATTTAAGTTGTCTCTTGGCATTAAGCCTTCAAAAGTAACTTCAGGGATAGCACTGGATAACTTTACACGAACAGCAACTGTTGACTCATCTGCTGTTTCACAGTACTTGTTCTCTGCAGCAGTCTCCATTGAGTTTTCATGAGCAATTTGCCAGGATGTCCACTTGCCAAACAGGAGGGGAGTCTGACGTTTAGAGAAGGGAGAAGTAAAAACCAAAATGAAAGAAAAATGTGTGACAGCTATACAAGCATTTGAATTTCAACAGCATGTACTACAGTCAAAGTTGCATAGGGATTTTAAAAAATGTAACAAATTACTGGTCTGTGGCCTGAACAATTCTCCTTTAGGTTTTAGATTTTCTATGGTTAGTTTCTGACAGAGTTAAATAGTTTAATTCAAACCTGTTTTACTCAATTGTTCTATGACTTATCAAAAAATGCACTATTTTCAAGTCTGACCATCTTTTCTTTCCTTTGTAATTACTCAAACATTCCAACAAGGCTTTGATATATCAGGAAATTTTAACCGTTTGGAAAATAATCTGTAGAAAAAACAAAGTTTACAAGTGTTTGCTCAGACTACGGCTGCACACATTTGGCTCTGAAAAGGCAAACTTTGGCTTCTGCTAACACACTGGAAACGTCTAATAACTATGGAAAAATACAGAATACTTACTTTTATATATTAAGCAATTCTCAGATTGTTTCATATTTTTTACCAACTCTCTGCCAAGTCCACAGGCGTAGAGTTTTCTGCCCCTGATTCTAATTAGTCTCCAATACAGCAAGGATGTCCACAATGGTTGACACAAATTAACAGAAGGAACTGATTTGTAGCATATGATTTCTCAAACTTAACTTTATGGTAAAAGACTAGGCTTTCCTTTGGGCAGTAAAGTTTACAGGGTGTTCATTGCAATAAAGCTGCATAAAAGAATAGGATTGGAGCACTGCAGCTGTCAATAAGTGCAGGCCAGGTGGTAAAGCACTGTTAGAAGTTTGAGCACCACCTAGGGGTGGTGATATTTTTCACATGCAGTAATACCCCTGAAGGCAATGCAGATTATCTAAGACTCTCCAATTTTATATAACATGAGCTTGTTTCGCTAAATATCGCTTTTGTTCTGTTTAAATGAGCACTTATTGTTCAAAGCTGTGAAGTTGCTTGATCACAATTATCAGGACTTCCATTACTTTTTCATGTATTGTAGTTTTATCTGTGTTCATTTGCTGCTTCCTTCACACTATGACTGAGCACTGTGAAATCTGCGTGACTGTGGCCTTACAGTAATTCAGTTTTAAACTGTGAACATTAGTGTCCATATCTTTTTAATAAACAGGACAAAGCCCAGGCTTTTAAAACCAGATGAGAGTTTAAAGCAGAGGTTGGTAAAATACTGCCCATGGGCTGGATCCAACCTGCAGGTAGGCAGCACAGGTGGCAGCACTGTCCAAGCCCTGGGCAAGCCGTACTCAAGCCTCCACCTCTGCAGGAGCTCTGGCTCTAGCCTCTGCTGGTGCCACAGGGGATGCTGGGCAGAAGCAGCCTGCCTGCCTAGCACCAAAGGCCAGAGCTAGAGCTGCCACCCACTACCAGATGCAGGGGCTCAAGCATGGCTTGCCCAGGACCTGCCCCATGGTGCCATTTGGGTGTGTGGGACTGCTTCTGTCCAGCATCCCTCATGGTGGCTGGAAGAAGCAGTCTGGCCCCTCAGACCTTGGGTGAGCCGCACTCAATCCCTGGCCTCTGCTGGCAGGTGGTGCCCAGGGCCTGCAGGGCCAAACTGCAACTCCCAGGGGATGCTAGACAGAAGCAGCCCTGCCCACCTGGCACCATGTGCTGTGCTCCAGTTCTGGTGACTCTATCCATTGGGTGGATGGGCAGGGCTGCTTTTTCCCCAGGAACTGTCAGGGCCTGAGCATGACTTGTCCATTCCCTGCCCACAGGGGATGGAGTCTGGCTGTGGTCCTTCACGCTGGCACAGCCTGTGCCGCCATCAGTGGAAGCCATAGGGTCAGGGGTTGGGTGTGCACGTGTGCCAGGAGCCCTGATGGTGGGGCAGGACAATGTGGAGACCCATAGCCAGGCTCCATTCCCCACCCCTCTAGCTGCAAATGTGGTTGGCAGGTGCTAGCTCTGGGTGCTGGAGGAGGGGGAGGGGGCAGGTTGACTGGGGAGGGTGCGCATGTATGTGCATGTGCAGCTCTCAGCAGCTCACCAAAGCTCCCTAAGTGGCCCTCCAGCCCAAGTAATTGCCCACCCCTGGTTTGGAAACATAAGTAAAGAACTACTTTAAGATAATTTAAGTACAGGAACTACCTTAGCTGAACTACATTTATGTACTAAGGAAATAAAGTGAACACTTAAGAGCAATATAAATTGATAGTAAAGACACATGCAAAACCACCAACTATGAACTTCACCTTTAGAAAGTTTCTTTACAAACTCAGTCTCTGAAAATAAACCATGCCACAAAGCCTTTGAGAGCATTTTTATTAAGGGTAGCAGAATGGAATTGCAGAAAGCCTGTACCAATACTCTTGGGCATATAGCTTCACTAGCATGTTGTAATTTTGGGTCTTAAACTGCATGTTTAGAATGCAACTTGGCTTTGGGAACCAGACAGAACAACAGTTTGAATTCCTGAGTTAACACAGGAAAGTCTTAGTACTTTTCATTTTTCTATTCATACTTCCCATACAGTACATTGGTATTTGGTCTGCATCTTTTCCGAAGAGGGTCATCTATAAGTAAAAGCTACCATTAGTGTCACACATCTTATGGTTTAGACACTGGACTATGAAGATAGCAAGAAGAGAATTGAGGTTGATATTTTTCTTCCACTTGACCCCTAGACATTAGATTAAAATGAATGGCATGACATTGCTATAGGCTGATGTAACTTTGAACTGCAGCTCCTGGAATTCCCCAAACTCCTCAGTTCCCTTTCAGTGATATCTAAGTGGCACTGATTCACATAAATGCAGCATTTAACCTGAGAGGTTTACAATCAGAAGGTATATTCACTACCATGTACAAACAAAAGGTGACAAACAAGTGCTATAGTTTTTATAAATATAAAAGGAAAAGTTAGGGAATGGCAATTTTCCATGCCAACAGATGTGATCAATAGGAGAAACAGAACAGTGGCTCATTTAGGTATCTGATGCAGAAGTTACACACACTTCAGTTTGACAGATAATTTGGCAATTTTTTTATTATGAATGTGAGTGAGCGTGAATGAAACAAAATCAGTAGCAACTATCTGCAAATGAAGACACAAAGATGTGAAAAATTTGGTAATAGTGCTCTCACCAAGCCTGAAAACACTCAGGAAATGCAAGTTTCTGTAAATAAGGTGAACGTGGTTTAACTTTATTTACCTGCCAAAGAATCTGTCTAAGAACACTTAAACGTAGCTCCCTAACTTATAAAAAAAAGTTTATCAGAGGCCCTGGGCTGTCATTCTTTATGCTAAACCTTAAAGCAGAGCAAAATAGGGTGGGTAGAAGAAAAGGAAATATACAAGAAACAAAACTGCTCCCTTAACACACACGCGCCCTGAAACGTTGCAAAGGCAGAGGCTATACTACTGCTGATTGTAGGAGTACCAACTATCCAGGTGTGAAAGGATTTACTAATGCAACTTCCTGCACATCAAAACGGTATGTACTCCTAAGTGCCTAAGGATTTCTGCAGATAAATCTGCTTGTTCAACAACAGAACAATTCTCATGGTTGGGAAGAGAAGGCAGTTTGATTGTATGGCAGTTTGACTGTACAGCTACGATCACATTTTAGATCTAGGGGGAAAAGGCAGTTAAAAGAAAAACAATTGGAAATAGTATTAAGAACAGTCCTGAACAGCAAGAGCTGCCTTTTGCACTGGGAAAGGTTCCATGCCTTCAAAAGAAAAGTCTATTTTTGTCCAAATAAATTAGGATGATCGGATGATATTTTAAATACTCATTAAATCATCTAACTCAAGTGTGGTATATTATTTCTTACAGATATTCATGGACAGTACTAGTGAAATGTATTCTGCTTATTACAGTTTATTGCTTAATGCTATTCTCATACCATTTTTAATAAAAAGAATCATACAGTAATTGGGGGAGGGGATGTCATTCTATAAAATACAAATGGTTCAGAGATGTATCCTGTGGCATCTCTAAGCCAATGATGGTGGATGTCAAGGAGGGTATGACAGAGGACAGATCACTCCAGATATACCCTGTCCATATCCTCTCCCTCTAAAGCATCCACTCCTGCTACAGGAGACAGGATACAGGGCTAGATGGACCATTGGTCTGACCCAATATGGCACT